TATTGAAAAAGAGATTTTAATTGGATCAAATTCTGACAGTCAATTTTTTAAAAAAGCAGTTATAGCTTTAAGTGCTTTCCCAAGAACTAGCTCCTTGGCAGAATGTAAGAGAGAAGTATTCGTGAGCACATGCACATGTGCTCATGCATTTGTGTATGCATGTTACATGTTCCCCAAAGCTTGGATACAGTACACAACTGTTGACCTGAACACACCAATTTTTAATAACTCAAGAAGTTATTTTTTATTCTTATCAACAAATTAACATAAATAGCTCATTTCCCCTTAATATCTCATCTTGCTTTTTTAGTCCTGAAAATGATATAGAAATTTTACAAAATTTACTAGTCTAAGGATTGCTTTGGGTTGGGAAATACAGTGCTAATCTTCAACATACACTCATTTGAGTGACGGGTCAAAGAGAAATTAAGTAACTAACCCAACAATGACAATATGAAGGATAGACACAGATTTACTATGAAGTTGAAAGATACTATTTAAGATAATAAAATGTTTAACCTAAGAAATATAATCCTAACTAACAAATCCTGGCATTTTGTAGCCCAATATAATTTTTTTAAACTAATATTTCAAAAGGTTCAAAGTGGACATTAATTCGAATGAAAAAATATTAATATTTCTTTGTCCTCTTGTGTCCCCTGCTCCAATTACATATGTGCATATAAATACAAACTCACATATAAATCACACATCTGCATACATATAAATATATCCTATGTGAATATATATAGTTTCAATTGTAACATTCTATTGTGATACAGTATTCAGCCACCTAAATAAAGTTCATTTTCTGTAGCTTTTTATTGATAAACTCTTAGTTAAATTCAATACTGGATCTGCTTCACTCAGAATCCTCTTTTAACCTAGAACTTGCCTTAGAGTCCTTGGGAATCCATTAAGGACACTGTAAAATAACAACTTCTAAAGTGTCCAAAGAAGTCAATAGTACAATGAAATCAATAATTTAAACTTGATTTAATGCCTTCAATAAACATAAGTGTAAACTGGCCTATACCACCCACTGCAGTAGTGAAAGAAGTACCTGAAGTTCAAACCTGTCAACAGATATGTTCTTTTATCATGCTTACTTTAAAGAATGAAATCAAAATGTCAAATATTTGGAAAATATATACCTAAATTATCACCTCTACTGCCATTTTTTTAATAGCAGTGCTGCCTGTTTTATGGAAAAATAAAATATTACATTTCAATTATTGAATGTCTAGAGACTACTTTCATTTAACATTTCACCATTTGTACTTTTTTTAAAACATAAAAAAACCTAGAAACATCTTTTGTCCTCTATTCACACTAGCTAATTTTATAAATGTATTGTTATATTCAGTTGATAAAACAAATCCTAGAAGAATCAGGTAGTCAAAATTTCATTCTTCACAATGTCTAAGGAAAAGTTTGGTGTACAGATTGTCATAACTTCATAATCTATGAAAATTTTAATGAGATAAATATAATAATGATTATAAGTTCATAATCTATTTTCAAAAGTAAATATTTCATTTTTCTCCATTTTTCTATAACCCACCTAAGTTTTAAGAAAAAGGGTATACTCTGGGCTTTCAGTTTTCTTTTCTGAATACTTACTGAGGACAAATTAAATGATTCAGTTCAACCAAGCACACTGATCCACTCAAAGTATGATGATTGAGATATATGTGTCTCTTGTACTCGTTCCATTAATCATATTAATTATTCATAACTATCTTACTCTATTCCTCTTTTATAGATATGAGAAATTTTACTGCCTAAGTTATTATAAGATTCCTTCTCAATTTATTAGTATGATACATGCATGTGGGCTTTTCAAAATTAAAACTTGCAAAGTTTTAAATAATTACAATTAATTAATTCGAAAATCACATGTTATACGTATGCAGTTGCTTACAGATGTCATTTGAATAATAAAATTTGATACCTCTCTCTACTTTTAAAGAAACAGATAAATGAATATTTTAACTATATTTACATTATCATAACTGAATAAAAAATTAAGTAGAAAGTAAATTTTCAATTTAGTGCAATTTTTTTCTTAAAGGCACAATCTTAGAAAATTAGCACTTGTTGCTACAATTTTTAGTAAAATATTTATGTCTTTACTGGGTAGAATTTGGCATTTAAATAAAAAAAACTACTTGATAAAATTGTATTACAAATAGATTAATTGTTCTTCAGTTACTAAGCTGTTGGTATTTGAAATTTATGAATAATGCTGAGTTCAAATTCAACATATATTTACTCTTCCTAAAATAATTTTAAACTTAGGAAAACCATTCCTCTTTCTTGACTCCATTTTGTAGAAAAGTTTTCTCTCCAGGGGTGTTTCTCAATAGGAATAAATTTTTGTTGGGTTGACAAAGAAGTCAGGATAAACTGGGGATTTTGTAATAACCATTTCTTAGAATTTGCTTTTCCTTATTTTTTTATCCAAATCAAAACCAAGACAAAAACAAAAAGAGAGAGAGGTGGCGCTGGCGCTAACATATATATATGTTTCAAAACAAGTTAATATTCATCTACATATAGTTTGATGGCACTCCTGTACCTTCCCAAGTGAATGCAATAGGGTTAAACATATAGCCTACCATTTCCCACTTTTTACTGCATGGAGAGTTTGGTCTGCCCCAGACCAAACTTTTTGACTCAACAGCATCATTACAATAGTTAATAGAATTATTACTTCTTTAATGCCTTAATAACCACTTCATTCTCAATAATGCTGGAGCAATTTCACAACCTCATACTCCATCTATGCAATACACAGTAGTACCACAGTTTTTCTTTTTCTTTTTTTTTTTTTCCTCTTTTCCTATCATGGTAATGCCTAGAATTTTAAAGGAATAACCTGTGTAATTTAAATGCTGGAACACTTTTAGGACACCTGTTTTTAGGTCCTAATTTTTTTAAGAATCTTTCTTCTTTCTGGTGATTTCACTAGATAAAGATTACCATTCTATTCCAGAAGTTAAGAGTGAATGAATGAATAGACCTGGATTTTCCTTTTCTTTTGTTATGTTACTGTCCTCTAAGAGGAACACAAAATACAAGGAGAACCCAGAATAAAAGAGTACAACTTTGTGTTACTTATATTCACATTGCATTATATCAATGTGGGCCTGCAAGAAAAACATCAAGCTTTGTTAGACTTTTATAGAAATATTTTATTCTCTTTATTTTTAAGGGCAATTGCTTATACAGATTTTTTTCAGGGATTTATTATCTGAGATTCCGTTTCTTCTTTTCAATGATACACAAAAAAAGGAGAAAATAGATTCTGTGGAGAACAGTTCAATAGTCCAAATTTTTGTACTGAGTTGGATATTGTTTCAAATTCAGTGCTCTGTCTGAAAACATTTTCAATAGCATTTGTATTTAAGATCATGGAAAAATTAAAGTATATATTATCAAAGAGAAAATCATGTTTTCCAACTGTTATAACTAAGAAAGGGAAAAGTCTTTAAATACTCACTAAAACTCTTTTGAAAAAGAAATCATTTAAAATCAGATACTAAAAGAGCATATTGCCAGAGCACAACCTGTCTTCACTAGTTTATTCCAGCAACAAGGCCTGGGCAGTCAGAGTCTTTGCACATTATGATCAGTTTTACCAAGAAAAGAACAGTTACATCCAGTGTCATCTATTGACAAGTAAGAAGCTTGTGACTACTTTTCTACTCATTAACACAGTCCTATAAGTGATTTTCAAAGTTAAATAATCGAAACTGGGTCTGAATTTATTCTCCTGTATACAGAAATAGCATATCATGAAAAGCATACCTTTGTTCAAGGCTTCTACAGATAGAGAGATACCCAGAACAAGCCTTACTCCTTTTATTTGTAAATATTTGCATCATTTAATTTTGGGTAAGATTAACAAGACCATATGTCATTTTTTGGGGGGGGAGGGATGACAGCAAAACTGACAAATAGTTCCTGTTATGCCTGTCATTATGTTATTGCTAAATCATCCACAACATTGTTCCTGATATCAGTTACCAGGACAGAGCCAAAACTGGAATTGAAGTTTCATTCTCATTTCACACAAATAGTCAGCACTTAAAAAAAAATCCTTCAAAAAGTGATCTATGTCCTCAGTAATTTAAAAAATAATAATAAAAAGGGATGGAAGGAAGGAAGGAAGGGAGGGAGGAAGG